AGTTTACGATTGCGTACTCCAAATTACTTCATTGACAATTCAACTCATGTATAAAAAATCACATAAGCCGCAGTGTAATTGTCACTTTGACAGCGGCAAAAGTTACCTGCAACTTTTCCAGCGACAAATGCACTAGTGGTTTTTTCACTTACCTATTCATTTTCGAACCAATTATCGCATTATCCTTTCCCATATGACTAGTTTGACGTCTGTCAGTAATTGATTAGTTATGTGAATTTCTTGTTCGTTAAATTGTCCTGCCGAATTACACTCGAGGTTTGTATTTAAACCGAGTAAATTTGGGTTGTGGCAATTCAAATCTGTTTCCTTTTAGCAATTGGATTCGAAAAACTGTCAACCTAAAAATGCTCCACCTGCGGTGTCGCATTTTTATTAGTTGACAGTTTTTCTCGTCTAATTACTAGGCAACAGATTTTCATTACCTAAACAACCCAAATTTACTCGGTAAAATACAAACCTCTTGTGCAATTATAAGTGATAATTACATGACACCTCCCATGATGCTGACATTTGGAGCTGGGGGAAGTACAAGTTCTATTATTGACAGTTTAAACATAATCATCGACAGATTGACCGAAAGCGGATTGTACGATAAAGTGGACCAAGATCTGAAAAATTACGAGGAGTACAAAAAGAGCGAATTGCCGGAAGAAGAAGAGGCGGTGGCGCTATCTTTTGAACATTTGAATGGAATTTTTATTATCTACTGTTTTGGTATGATATTATCTGTAATGGCGTTTGCTACAGAACTGATTGTACATCGTTTTTTGAAATAGTTTAATCTGCAAATTGCACTTTACTCACTGAAAATGCATTAAAATGTTATTGTCAAAAAGAGAGGTTTGTAATCTATAATAAAAGTTCTTAAATTTACTTAGACATCCTCTACATGGCCCCCACATCTGTTCTGGGGCCCTGTCGCTAGAAATGAGGCGGACCCCTATTTATATGTTCTTTAATAATCCACTTTTTATCGTCCAAAATTTTCGTCATCAATATAGTAGACCCCCATAACTTTGATGTACTCCAAACTTATTTAATAATACCTTCACGAAAATTTTCAATAGCAAATAGCAGGCGATCTTTAAAAAAAACTATTTCGTAAAACTTAAAATAAAAAGGTTTTCCATATGACGCCAACTTTAGTAGACCCACTGTATATAACAACATTTTTACCGACAAAGTTAATGATTTTATCAAAAGTAATTTATTTTAACAAATTTAGATCAGAATGGGCCAATCAGGGTTTATACACTGCCTTTTTTGAGCCCCGAAAAAAATTGTCTCAGATCGACCCGGGAAAAAAAATGTTCTTATAAGAATGTGGCCTTTCAAACAGTTCCAAGATTGGGCTACTAGTTCAAAAGTTACAGCCCTTTGAATTTTTTTTCGAAATTGGTTTCTAGTCTATAACTTTTGATGGAGAAGTCTGATCGAAAAAGTACGAATTGATTTGGATTCTACGCACCCAAATTAATAAGAAAAAGTGTTTTCCCGAGAAATTTTGGTGTAGTCGATTTTTGGTAGAAAAGGAAGGTTTATACCCTGGAGCCAATCGATCACAGAAATCGACGCTACCAAAAAAAAATTATACCAGGTGATTCATTAGAAGTGATGACAGTTTGAATTTCCCGCAAATCAAAAAAATTATGAATTTGGTACTAACTGATGATCATTTATTTAATTGCAGTGGTGTATCATCATGCTTTCAGTAAATCGTTTACTTATTTATAATCTACAAATACGGCTTCTATTTTACCACAAATTATAAACGAATACTAGACACAGTCACGTTTCATACATATCTTAGTGCATCAACTCTAAAAATTGTTCAAAATGGAAAAAGTAATAAACCGCAAATGACGCAACAATTAACGGCGACACTGGTTTCTTAAATGACAGTCATGACAGAACAAAATTACTAGATAACAAAATTCAAACCGTCAATTTAATAATGCAAAAAACACTAAAACCATAACAGCATAAAATCATTGAAATAAGCAACTTTGCATTGTAAAATTCAAAACCCGCCCTGGAGATCGTAAAAGGCGATCAATGGACACGGGAGGTGGCGAGTCCAATCGCCTCCCCTATAAATCCTATCTAAACTAACCTCTCCTTGCCGTTCTTTTCCTACACCGTGTGTCCTATAAATTCTACTTAATATTGTTTAAAAGACCTGACCGCAGCTATAAAATGACGAAACTTGCTATGGATCACGGATTTTCCGATAAAACTGTTACTTCTCAAAGGGTCGGACTATTCCCAGAGGCGACAGGGAGCGACTTTGAAATAAACTCTTGCAAGTCTTCCTCTTCGCCCGTTTTGCTACTATCGGATTCGTCCTTTCTTTTCTCTATACAGGCAAACGGAATTTTTCTAGATAGATCACGGACATTCGCCAGAATTCTCAAATACCTGCGAAGACGGAATATCGCATTTCTCCTTTTCTGACGGCTCGATGGCGACTGCTGGCTCCCCGACGCCTGGGATACACGCTATACTGAATATTAATTGTTTAATTACCCATTAAATTGATCCGCCATTGCCTTTAAATAATCGACATTTGGCATACGAGTATTACCAACTGTATAAATGTTTTGTTTTTCGATATCAAACTGTCCGCAGTCATTTTAGAGCACCCTGTATACGTCTATCGTAAAATCGCGATCGCAAACTCAAAACAGTATGAAAGGTTGCGGCGCTACCATTGTTAGTACCTCTGTATTTTATTATCGATAATGTCATTAGGTAAGTAGGTACTAGCTTGGTACAAAAACGTGAAATTGTAGGTTCAATTCCACAAACAATAGAAATGGTTACTAAAATCAATATTCAATTGCACTTAAAAGGTTCAGCTTGAATTTTATTGTACCTCGCATTATTTGTGGAGGTTTTCGAATCGGAAAAAAAAACGAATGAATATATCTTTCGGTTCTGATGGAAATGAAAGAGTTTGAAGAATCGGAAGAATGGGAATAACTGATGTGAAGCGTTTTCCACAGACTTATTAAACACTCAAAGATATGTAAATGTCAAAGCCTTACAGGCACTTTTCATAACTTTCAATAGCTTTACTGGGCACTCGAGACTCTCTTGAGTACTTCCAAATACATCCTTTGCTTCTAAGAATTTTCATTGTCTGATAGAGAGTGCTTAGCGCCTATGCCAAAGAAATTTCTAAATTTCTTAAATTTCTAACTATACCTACCTCAGAAATTTCCAATTTTCCGAAGAATTTTTAGAAGTTCTCAAAATTGACGAAAGATCCAAATATCTTGCGAGAGTTTCTAGAGATTTCCCTAAAATTCCGAAAGCTTCCGACAGTTCCTGAAACGCTCAACACATTTACAAACTTTTTCGAGAATTCTTCGATTACTAAAGACTTTTCGAGAGTTTCTAAAGGTTTCCAATTGACTCGTAAATCTCCTACGAGTTTCCAAAACCTTGTATTACTTCACTTTCCCCAAAATTTCTCAACTTTTCTAAAAACCTCCCGAGAAGAGATTTCTGTAGAACACCTTAACCTTGTGGTAATGGCTCAAATATTCCCAAAGATCGAGAAATGCAAAAAAAAAACTCCTAGCAATATCAGAATAGAAATAGAATTCCAAAAATTACCGAAAAACTTCCCAATTTCTTTGAAGAAATTCCTCAGGGTTCTCCGGAGGGTTTCAAAGATTTCTCTGACGTTTCCTGAAACTTTTAAAGAATTTCCAAGGTCTTTCCCGACCATTTCCTACAATTTCGAGAGACTTCTCAACATTTACTAAGAAACTGAGCTTTTTTGAATTCCAACCAATGCGTTGTATACGTGTCTAGGTTGTGGAAAGTGTTTTCAGGCTCTCGAAAAGTCTAGAAAAATGTAAGGAGTATACCTGAATAGGAATTAGTGTTCTGAAAACAAACGAAGGGTGCTTTTTCGCACTTGCTATACCTTATATATGGTTCTCCAAAGCTTTACACCTTCTTGGAAGAAACTTTTTTGGTACCCGTCAGGGTTCTGTAAACGTTTACAGAGCAATTGAGGCCTTCCAGAACCATCCAAACGCTTTCTGATTTACACAGACTCATTAAGCACCCAAAAAGGTTTCTTTCCAGAATATTCGTGCAGCAACGTGAGCAATGTAGACTTTCTAGTATATTCTATGTGCTGTCTAGAACATCGTAGGGCCCTTCCACAACAGTCTATTTCGATATTAAAAATTCTGTTCCGAGGCTTTTAGGCTTTTCCTAGTTTTTGTTTGTTCTATTGGGAACCCGAGGCCCCGGAACGGAAAGGCGTTTTATGACTTTTCCGGGGCTTCTAAGGGCTACCATACACGCGTTCTAGACGCACCCAAACACGAGAAGGCATTCTATAGCCTTCTGGATGCTTCCTGTGCTTGCCATAACAGCCCAAAAAAACTCTTCTTCTTTCTCCTCCGACTGGTTTCCTTTAACCGCGGCCGGGGTCATCTACACTCACTCCAAATGCCTCTGTACTCATGAACTTTCGCGTCATTCCTTCAATTAGAGTTTTCTTCTCTTCTCTTAGACAAATTCACTTTTTTTGCAAATGTCTCCAACGATCTTGATGCTTTCTAGAAGCTCGGTCTCGACACAATAATACAAAGATGCTTATCCTCTACCTTATATGGAGGAGATATATGATTATAAAATGTTTTATATTTTAAGTATATGGTAAATTTTTTTATTTTATTTTTTTGAATGTTTTTTAAACAATTTTATTTGCAATATGTTAATTTTGTAACCTTTTGTTAAATTCATAAATATAATATCCCATTAAAAAAAAGGTTATCAAAAATGACGCTTATCCTCTGCCAAACATAACGTCGATATTTGATCATATTATTACCATCTTCAAACTTGTTGCTTAATATAGCAAATATTGAATTAATTCGTCCTTACACGACCCATTCCATGGCATCGATTGCGTCTTTGACCTAAAAGATTGATTCAAACAGCAACATGATCAATCAAGTTCAATAAAAATACCTCTTTATTATAACAAATGTTTATAAATAACCAGATCAACATCAATATACATCGATAAACTTTGTAGGTACATTATTTTCTTAATCAAAAGCGAATCGGTTCATTCCTCTTTTGATTAAAAAAAGGGTAGTTTACATTAAATTTACGCTAAGTTTATTGTACATCGTGAAAAATTAGTACATTTGGCTGCGAAGTTGCTTACTTGTAATAAGTAAAAGTACATTTTTTATACGGGGAACGCCCCGTGTTTCGTCCCAAGTTTGGCACACATTTTCTTAAAACGTAAGTAGTGTGCTTTTTTTTGGAAAGAAAGTTGCGAAGAATTGTATCACAAACAATGGCAATTCCTTGGTGGTTAGTTTATTGTATTCACACTGCTAATACGCCTTTGGTATTTTTCTATATCGGTCCGATTACATTAATACCGTTTACACCAATTAGAGGTTAATAATATCAACGACTACTGAGCTTCCGCGGCATTTTTCATTTAAAACCTGCGCGCTGGTAATGCAGTATTGATTTTCTCGGCAAACGTCGTCATCAGTCTTATAGAGTTGTAGGAGTTCAACGTAAGGTATTGCAAAATTGTGATGGAGGAAGTGCATGAGATTCATAGTGTGTAAGTGGGAGGGAATTCGGAAATCAAGCCTGCATTACAACTGCTATCCAACTTAAACTAAACGAAATCACATAATCTCAACTAAACTTTAGTTACTCTTTGAAAATCAGATCTTAAACTTACCTAGGGATTTTTTTTAACATAAAAAAATCTGTACATTGATTACAGTATAGGAAAAGTGTCTATGTCACATAAGGCGTTTACACACATTTTTATCACAAAATTCACATTTAATAAAAATATGTCTTCTCTTAAATTTGATTTAAAGTCGGTACACTTCACTAACTCTCCCTACTTTTGGACTGGCAACGTTTTGGCCACGGCAACGGCCAATTCGGCCACTGTCTCGGAATGGGGCCGGTCACGTTTCCCTCAAAGTACAAAAACAAACAGTACCACCACTCACGACCGAGGTAATTGTTCGGCGAGTGTTGCTGAAATGGGAGCAGCTCAATCATACAAATCACATTCACAGGTCACACTCACCTTCAAAAATGAGTTGTTCGCGAGCGTGTGATACGTCCAGAAGATTCGAGTCGTGATGTAGTAGGCGACGATCACGTCGAGGGTGTAATGGCCGTGACCGAGTTGTAGCATGATGACTCCCACCAATGCCATTAGGTAATACAGCCAGTGAACGAGGTACAGTTTTTTTGGTGTATCTGCAGAAATTAGACGAATTAAAAAGTCGAGAAAAACTTCAGCGACCACGGTCGCCATCTTTAAAGATGGCGGCTTTAATACAGGGTGCATACTTACATTCGGAAATAAACAGGCAACTTATGACGAGGATAACGGTGTGCCCGCTGTACATGTAATCGCCGCAGTACGTGTGTTTGCCGTTAATCGACAATCCCATGCCCGAAAACAGCACGATCACGCGCTTCGTGACCTCGTAAATGCTCGTAGCGTTTGTCTTCGGCGAGCAGTAGTAGGTCTTGCTCGGTACGGGCAATACGGTAACGAACATGGTGATGGCACGATACAGATAGAGCAACGCTAAAATTAAAAACAGTCTTCGGAACACGATGAATCTGTGCTTGTGCAAAACGGAAACGATGAGCGTTGAGGCCACGCAGATGATGATCATGTACTCGGAGACGCTCAGGCCCCAAATCATCTCGGGCACGTTACTCAGAAAGACGTCGGGAAGCGGATCGACGACGTTTCGATCCGGCACCTTTTCGTGCACGATTGCCAGTGCGGTTAGCGTTAAAAGAAAACTAAAAAATAAGACGATAGCAGCTGAAAGCAGAAACGGTTAGACCTCGACGAAGGGCGCAAAACGCGCGTACCTATAACGGTCTTCCAGCGTTCCTGCGGAAAACGTGGCTCCTCCCTGATCGGCGGCGGCATGGATATCTTGATGACGCCGTTCGACTCGTGGTTATCGAGCGCGTCGTCGTCGTCATCCTCCGCGGAGGCGCTGTAATACTGCTGGCGAGATTCCGGACGATTGCCCTGGCCCCACCTGTCGCCCTTGGCGGGTGCGGGCAGCAGGGGTTGCCTTTGGTACAGATCACCTGAAAGTGGAAGTGAAATGTTACGGACGTTGCTTCCGAGGAGCGATTCGGAAGGCGAAAACGAAAGCGAAAAGGAGAAACACAATTGTTTTATTTAGTTCATTACAAGAGCATTCGACGATTCCGGGAGGACCGTGCGGACGTGCGCGGGTAGCCGAGGCGATTTTGAATTACACGAAGTAAATGTGCGGGTTTGCCGTAAGTAAGAGTGACTTTTTGGCACAAAAGGAGCGCTAAAAGAATTAATTTTTGTTGAGTTTGGCTCAAAATTAGCTCAAATATTTAGTACACTTTGGCGCCAAAAAGTAATGCTACGCAAAAAATAATTTGTTACCTTACCAGGCACAATTTTCAACATTTTGGAGCCAAAAAGAACTTTAGCTACAACTCTTTCAAATTAGGACGCTAAATTTGCCTCCAATAGTACACAATTATTCACATATGCTTACGGACCAAAAGGGAAAGAATGATTTAAAAAAGAACTTTGCCTCTAACTCTTTTAGATTAGGGTCCAAAATTGACTCCAATCGCATACAATTATTGAGATATAAAGACACAAAAGGAATGCTAAGCAAAAAATAATTTTCAAAGTGACCTTTGGTCTTTTTCTTATTCTTAGACATTAGGGCACCCGTTCGGCGAAAAATTATTTGTTTAAGGTAATTTTTGCTGTAATTCTTAGACATAGGGCTCAAAACTTGGATCTAATAGTGCGCTATTATCAATATTTGGCATCCTAATCCTAAAATCACTTCCTAAGAGAACTTTTGCTGTAATGATTTAACCCTAGGGCCCAAAATTTAACTCCAATAGCGCACCACTACCAAAATTTGGAATCCGTCTAGCGAAAAATTATTGTTAAAGTCAACTTTTGCTGTAATTCTTAGACATACGACCCAAAACTTGGATCCAATGGTGCACGATTAACAACATTTGGCATTTTAATTCAAAAATCACTTCCTAAGAGAACTTCTGCTGTAAATATTTAACCCTAGGGCCCAAAATTTAACTCCAATAGCGCACCACTACCAAAATTTGGTGTCCGTTAAGCCAAAAATTATTGTAAAAGTCAACTTTTGCTGTAATTCTTAGGCATAGGGCCCAAAACTTGGATCCAATGGTGCACGATTAACAACATTTGGCATTCTAATCCAAAAATCACTTCCTAAGAGAACTTTTGTTGTAATTATTTAACCCTAGGGCCGAAAATTTAATTCCAATCGCGCACCACTACCAAAATTTGGCATCCGTTAAGCCAAAAATTATTGTTAAAGTCAACTTTTGCTGTAATTCTTAGGCATAGGGCCCAAAACTTGGACCCAATGGTGCACGATTAACACCATTTGGCATTCTAATCCAAAAATCACTTCCTAACAGAACTTTTGCTGTAATTATTTAACCCTAGGGCCCAAAATTTAACTCCAATAGCGCACGACTACCAAAATTTGGTATCCGTTAAGCCAAAAATTATTGTTAAAGTCAACTTTTGCTGTAATTCTTAGGCATAGGGCCCAAAACTGGGATCCAATGGTGCACGATTAACAACATTTGGCATTCTAATCCAAAAATTACTTCCTAAGAGAACTTTTGTTGTAATTATTTAACCCTAGGGCCCAAAATTTAACTCCAATAGCGCACCACTACCAAAATTTGGTATCCGTTAAGCGAAAAATTATTGTTAAAGTCACCTTTGCTGTAATTCTTAGGCATAGGAACCCAAAACTTGGATCCAATGGCGCACGATTAACAACATTTGGCATTCTAATCCAAAAATCACTTCCTAAGAGAACTTTTGTTGTAATTATTAAACCCTAGGGCCGAAAATTTAATTCCAATCGCGCACCACTACCAAAATTTGGCATCCGTTAAGCGAAAAATTATTGTTCAAGTCAACTTTTGCTGTAATTCTTAGGCATAGGCCCAAAACTTGGATCCAATGGTGCACGATTAACAACATTTGGCATTCTAATCCAAAAATCACTTCCTAAGAGAACTTTTGCTGTAATTATTAAACCCTAGGGCCGAAAATTTAATTCCAATCGCGCACCACTACCAAAATTTGGCATCCGTTAAGCGAAAAATTATTGTTCAAGTCAACTTTTGCTGTAATTCTTAGGCATAGGGCCCAAAACTTGGATCCAATGGTGCACGATTAACAACATTTGGCATTCTAATCCAAAAATCACTTCCTAAGAGAACTTTTGCTGTAATTATTTAACCCTAGGGCCCAAAATTTAACTCCAATAGCGCACCACTACCAAAATTTGGTATCCGTTAAGCGAAAAATTATTGTTAAAGTCAACTTTTGCTGTAATTCTTAGGCATAGGGCCCAAAACTTGGATCCAATGGTGCACGATTAACAACATTTGGCATTCTAATCCAAAAATCACTTCCTAAGAGAACTTTTGTTGTAATTATTGAACCCTAGGGCCGAAAATTTAACTCCAATCGCGCACCACTACCAAAATTTGGCATCCGTTAAGCGAAAACTTATTGTTCAAGTCAACTTTTGCTGTAATTCTTAGGCATAGGGCCCAAAACTTGGATCCAATGGTGCACGATTAACAACATTTGGCATTCTAATCCAAAAATCACTTCCTAAGAGAACTTTTGTTGTAATTATTTAACCCTAGGGCCGAAAATTTAATTCCAATCGCGCACCACTACCAAAATTTGGCATCCGTTAAGCCAAAAATTATTGTTAAAGTCAACTTTTGCTGTAATTCTTAGGCATAGGGCCCAAAACTTGGACCCAATGGTGCACGATTAACACCATTTGGCATTCTAATCCAAAAATCACTTCCTAACAGAACTTTTGCTGTAATTATTTAACCCTAGGGCCCAAAATTTAACTCCAATAGCGCACGACTACCAAAATTTGGTATCCGTTAAGCCAAAAATTATTGTTAAAGTCAACTTTTGCTGTAATTCTTAGGCATAGGGCCCAAAACTGGGATCCAATGGTGCACGATTAACAACATTTGGCATTCTAATCCAAAAATTACTTCCTAAGAGAACTTTTGTTGTAATTATTTAACCCTAGGGCCCAAAATTTAACTCCAATAGCGCACCACTACCAAAATTTGGCACCCGTTCGGCGAAAAATTAAATTTTTAAGTGAATTTTTGCTGTAATTCTTAGACTAGGGCCCAAAATTTAGCTCCTCTAATGCACAATTATATTATCATATACAACTGACACGAAAATAAGATGGCTAGCGTTACGCACATCGCACACGCGCCCTTTCAAATATGGTTTTGTGCTTCAGACGCGACGCCATCTTAAAAAATGGTGGCAAAAACCATATTAGAAAGGACGCTTCCTCCCCGAAAACAATTGGCACATGGACTACTAATAATAGGCGAAAGCTTCACCAAGCCGAGTTGTTATTTGAGTAAGCGAAGACTTAAACCACTGGAGGTGAAAAGTTCCGGAAGCGTAGGAGAAGTATTTCAAGGTGAAGCGATTCAGTTCCAATTTCTAGTTACCTTCGCTCTGCGACGCTACTGACGACTCTGTATTCACGCTACGCAACTCAAAATCGTTCATGATACTCGGCAGGGAGGACGCTTTTCGATTCTTGTAACTCTTAAACGCAGAGGAAATTTTCAAAACATTATTACCTTGGGTCATTGCGGTCCCTTTGGACGTGTTCGGCGATTCCTCGTCGTCGAGGGGCGGCAACGTCGTTATTATCGAGTCTGGACTTAGAAAAGCATTAGGCGAATTGCGTTGGGGCTGTGCGTCTCCCGTTGAATTAATAGTTCCATAATCAGCAAACTTGGGCTCCAATACCATTCTGTAAATAAAAACCAAAAAAATTAGCGTTTAGTATAAATCTCGACCGGATGGCACCAATTAGTTTATTTCTGACTCGACCGCCGCCGTGTGAATTAATTAATTCATTTACGTTCAGCGCGTGCCTGAGTGAGATCATTTGAGGCCGACGACTTACGCCGCTTTATTAGCGCTATTTTCACAATTGGTGCATAGATTTAAAGTTCAAACCGAGGTTCAAACGAGAGAGATTGAAGCAGATTTATTGGTTTTTTTTCTTAAAATAAAAATGGCAGTGGCCCATCTATACATCCCTGTGAAACACCCACTTTAGTATTTGGCACTGATAACTACTCGCAGTAGTTTGCTCCTGATACATTATTCCAGAACATTTTGATACCAAAGGACTACCATACCAGATGAGCTTCTTCTGTAAGAAGGTGAAGGTTTGGTAAAAAAACTATTATAACACATGTGCGAGGACAGTCGATCTATTTTATGCTCCTAATACAATTTCTTTTTAGGAAGATTATTTGGAGGTCTTACTTCTGGACACCTGTCAGAAATCCTCGTAGACATACATCAGATAAACATAACACCCCAATACAGTGTCTTACTTCTGGGCTCTTGTCAAAAGTTATTTTTGCAAAGATACATTAAAAAAGCATAACACCCTCGATAACACCCCAGCAAACCTTCGAATGTGGCACTAATAGGTAGGTTCCACTTATATGCTGCTAATACAATTGATTATTTCGATCAATTTACAAGTCAATTTACCTGTTATGCTCCTAATAGAATTCATTTTAGGAAGATTCTACAGAGGAAACTTCTGGGTTCCTGTCAAAAATTATTATTACAGATCAAACCTTCGAATGTGGCACTGATAATCACTAACAGGGAGTTTGTACTTATATGCTCCTAATACAATTGATTATTCCGATCAATTTACGAGTCAATTTACCTGTTATGCTCCTAATAGAATTCATTTTAGAAAGATTCTACACAGGATACTTCTGGGTTCCTGTCAAAAATTATTATTACAGATCAAACCTTCGAATGTGGCACTGATAATCACTAACAGGGAGTTTGTACTTATATGCTCCTAGTACAATTGATTATTCCGATCAATTTACGAGTCAATTTACCTGTTATGCTCCTAATAGAATTCATTTTAGGAAGATTCTACACAGGATACTTCTGGGTTCCTGTCAAAAATTATTATTACAGATCAAACCTTCGAATGTGGCACTGATAATCACTAACAGGGAGTTTGTACTTATATGCTCCTAATACAATTGATTATTCGCGAAATTTAGAGATCAAGTAACCAATGTTGTGTAAGGAGAACATAAAGAGTATAACATGTGAGAAAATCCATTTACCTGTTATGCTCCTAATAAAATTCATTTTAGGAAGATTCTACAGAGGATTTACTTCTGGGCGCCTGTCAAAAATTACTTTCGAATTTGGGACTCATAACCACTTATAGGTAGTTTGCACTTATACGCTCCTGGTACAGGTGATTACCACTATACCAGACGAGCTGGCAGAACGATTATAAGAATGTTTTGGTAACAAGAGATGACGCCTGAGCGGGAAAAATCGATCGAATTACTACTTTATGTTCTCACAATCCCTATTTTTTTAGGAAGATTCTGCCAAGGTGTTGCTTCTGGGCACCCTCAAGAAAACCCAACGCCGTTTGCAATTATATGCTCCTGATACAAGTGAGTATTTAAAAGCGTTTGGAGATCAAAGGACAACTAGTCCAGATCAGCGAATATTTTGGTCACAGGAAAATATAATATTTGAGCAATATCATTCGATCCATTTTATACGTTTTATGCTCCTAATACAAATCCATTTTTAGGAAAATTCTGCCCGAGTCTTACTTCTGGGCTCCTGTCAAAAGGTCTTATTGCAGACATGCATTAAGAAAGCATAGCCCCCCGCAAACCTGCGAATATGGCTCTAGGAACTACTAACAGGTAGCTTGCTCCTAATACAATTGACTATTCCGATCAATTTACACGTAATGCAAATCATTTTAGGTATACAGAGGATTTACATCTGGGATCCTGTCCAAAAAATGATTACAGACCAAACCTTCGAATGTGACACTGATACCCACTATCAGGTAGCGTGCACTTATATGCTCCTAATACAATTGATTGTTTGCGAACTTGGGGATAAAAAAACACCAGTTCAGATGAGCTTATATGATAAATGTTACGGTAACACAAGCAAGAACACTCGATCCTTTTTGTTTTTCTAGTCCTAATTCTAAGATAATTCATTTTTAGAAAGATTCCACCGAGGTCTTACTTCTGGGCGCCTGGTTAAAATTATTGTCGCAGACACGCCTCAAGAAAGTGTACCGCTCCAGAATACTTGACGCTCTTTTAGGTAGTTTGCATTTATACGATCCTGATTCAAGGATGTTTAGGGGTCAAAAGACCACTAATCCAGATGCTGGGCGCCTGACAAAAATTACTCTCGCATACATGCATCCAGAAGGCACAACGGTCCAATATACTTTCGAAATTGGCACTCATAACCACTTAGAGGTAGTTTGCACTTATACGCTCCTAATACAATTCATTTTAGGACGAGGATGGGCTCCTGTCAAAAATTATTATTAGTGACAACCGCTAACAGGGAGTTTGCACATATAATGCTCCTAATACAATTGATTACGAATATTTGGAGATCAAGCAACCACTAGTTCAGATGAGCTTATAATGACCAATGTGTTAACAGGAGAGTATAAATACCCGAGAAAGAACAACCGATCAATTTAGTTTTTATACTCCTAATACAATTCATTTTTAGAAAGATATAGCCGAGGTCTTACTTATGGGCGCCTGGTTAAAATTATTCTCCCAGACTCTTGATACGAGTGATTCGAGAACAGTTATGGATCAATGAACCACTGTACTAGATAAGCTCTTCTGTCGGAAATTTTGGTAACAGGAGAATATGATATTTGAGCGATAAAAATTGATCTAATTACTTTAATGTTCCTCCAATTCTTTTCTATAAAAACTTCCGAGGGAAATTCCAAGGTCTTATTTCTGGACTCCTGCCAAAGCTTATATCGGTAAATGTTGCGGTAACTCCTGAGCAAGAGCAGGTAATACATTTAGTTTTTATACTCCTACTACAATCCATTTTTAGAGATCCCGCCCAGGCCTTTCTTCTGGGTGCCTGGTTAAAATTAGACTCGTAGATCAAGAGTGTAACGCACCAAAATACTTGGCATTGGTAACCACTTCTGGCTTCTGTCAATTGATACTCCTCATACAATTATGCCAAATGAGCTTCTTCCGTCCGAAGTATTAATAAGAGGATGTTATGGTAACAGAACAGCATTTTACCTTTAATGCTCCTATTTTTACGGAAAACTGTAATGACTTGATGATGAGAGGTGTCAGGCAAGCGGTTTGGGGGTATGGCATACCCCCCCCCCCCCAGTGATCCTTTGCCTACAATTACAAACTGATTACTAAAACCCCAGTATACTTTCGAATTTGCATTGGTAACAACTTACATTGCACTTATAAGCTCCTGATACAATGAATTGGTAGATGACATTTAGGGATCAACAGCCGAATATATGAGAGTGGTTTCTGCCAGAAATATTAATGACGAATCTTTCAATATCATTATCAGGAGAATATAATATTCGAGTAAAAACGATCCATATATCGAAATCGAAAGTTATTCATGTTCTTTTATGCCCCTAATACAATTAATGAAAATCCTCCAAACTTCTGCCACCGGATATCTGTCAAAAATGGTTCTCAGATCAGGAGAATATAACTTTTTTGAAGACTGCTTACTAGTTAGCCTAAAAGTAACAGTAAATGTTTTGGTAATAGGAGAATATAATCCATTTATCTGTTTTTTCGGGAAGATTCGATCTCTACTCATTCGCCCGTTTCTCTCTCCCTCTCTGTGCTCCTGTCAAAATAGTAAACCCGGTACATTCACACTCTTGCGTTTGCATGCTCCGGATGCAATTCGTCACTGTCTGACGGATAACAGGAGCACAGATTCGACGAATTTTAATTAATTGTCGAGTGCAGGTGTTGAACTGTAACGAAACACTTAAGCCTAAAAATAAAGCGCGACTACGCAACGCACGGGTTTACAAATTTCAAGGAAAAACGTCTCTTTTATGGCCTTAATGCTCGGATTAGCTTGTTAGTACATTATGCAACAAGTTTATTTTACCGCTTAAACTTTTATGAGCAACGAGGATCGCATTTCAAGGCTGGCATAATTGCGGTAATTAGAACGAAATCAGTCGAAACCATTATTGAAAGAAACTCTTCGCCCTCCATTTGCAGAACAATGAGATCGTCGAGTCATTCTGATGCGTCGATTTTACGTAATTCGTATTGTTTCTATGGGGAATACATATTGTATTTGCAAGTAATAAAATGTTATCGTTGTAATTTAAACAACATAGTTATTTCTACGATCGAGATAAAGAGATAAGACTTCCATGTGGAAAAATGTAAATAGTGACGACGCAAATCTGCAATTACCGCGCAATGATTTCGTACAGGCTTCCTATGTAATACTAAACTAAGAGAAGCCGATTAATTAAATCTGAACTTATTAATTCTTGAGATTCGAAAATGGATTACTACCATAACCTACAGATACAAGTCGTTCTCAACTGCACCAAAAGTTCAACTTCGGAAACACTTGAACCATAGTGTAACTTACACTATGCTTGAACCGAGGCTTGAACTTAATCTTTGACGATTCAAACAAACTTGAGAATCATCGCGACTTCAAGTCAAGTACCAAATTTCAAATTAATCGATAACCGACTTCTACGGGACTTCTGAGTTGTTTTTTGTCACGAAAAATGCTAATCGTCGCCCTTGGTTGTCTGTTTTGTGTACCACGTAATTAAATGATTTCGCTTCTGCGTTATCCGAGACCTTAGTTGTTAATAAAAAAAGCGATAATGTACAATAATGAACAATAGCAATTAAAAGTTGA